ACTGTCTGACGCGTCTGCCTCCGCGACCCGAAAGGAGAAGCGGCGATGGAAGATGAAGATGAAGATGTTCTGGGGTAGCTGCAATGAATGACATCTTTTCTGTAATACCGGTGAATATTACACATCAGTTTTGTGGTTAAGCATTTATTCGTTTTATTGTCTTGTATCATCAGGCAGTAAGAAATGCGTTCCTACGCATGTGGATTCTATTTTCTTTTCGACGGTGATGCCGATTAACCTCTAATAATCTCAGTTTCAATCTTTAGCATGTCTCCTCCCTTGTTTGAAACATAACGAAACATAGAATTTTGTTTATCGTCGGTATTCTGAAAGCTTGCCTTAGTTTATGACGGTTATGAACTACTTTTTTAGCAAGCGCGTGCTCCGTCTCCTAAGATCAGAACATGCACCGATTTGGCCTTCCTTGTATTCTTTTTCGTTTACTGGTGTGGAATGGTAATTTCAAAACCGTTGATCGTCGATCGACTGATGTACCTCACCCGTTTTTTGTTTCAGATACTCGTTGCGTTCATTTCCATATCGGCCGGAAACGTTTGGAGTCTGGTGTACGGCACGGATTACTTCGGAAACCTATGTGGCAGAAACAACGCTAAAGTCCAGGACGCCGTCTACACGGACATCGATTTGAGTTCCAAGCCGTAGGCGTTAATTCTCGTTTCATTTTGCACGTTTTTATCACTTGCTTTGTGAGGCAGTTTGTCATATTGCTCAGATTTTACCCTCACATCGTCATGGTGGGACTGTCAAAAGTATGGTGACGAAGTCACCGTCACTTTAAATCAAGAAGGGAAAATTTTTACTTTCTGGCGTATTAGTCGATTATTCAAAAATTTTTGGTTTACGCCACGTATGTGCAATCAATAATTTTAACTGCCCCTTCAAAAAATGCAGTGAGCACGGTAGATACGACGAAGTGAAGCTTAATAGGGCCTAAAGCTAGAATTATTTAAAATGATCCTTTCATGTTCTTCTTAGAATTTAAGGGTCTCAGAGTTAAGTTTCTACATTGATTGATAGAAAAATTCAGCCGTGATCTGGTTCTTGTTAGGCCTAAACCTTGTTTCCTGATACAAGCATGATGCATCCTGAAAGTTGCGTCTGATGGGTCGCCGTTGTTGCACATCAGCCAAAGTGGGACGGTTGCCAGATTAGGTTTTTTTTGAAATCCGGTCAAATAGTTGTTGCACGATTTTACTTATGAAAGTCTGCACCTTAAAACGATCTCATCTCTTTTACGTCTACCAGCAGAGAGGAATGATGCGAAAGTAGCATGAAAGTGGAAAGTTTGCAAGTACGTTGTTAAGTTGCGAGTAGAGTTCTTAGCTTTCTTAAACCATATAACGGATGTTTTCTTGAACACTGCTTCTTAAGCTAACACTCATAGCATGCCATGAATGAATTTAAGATCATTAATATTGTGATTCAATGGTTGACAGCACGAAAAACAATGCTAACTCTTAATTAGAAGTTTGCATTGTTTCTCAGGTTTGGTCAAGCAAATCAAGAAACTTAGAAAATCTGGCCAAATCCCTACTTCGTCTGTACTCTCTTCTAAATTGTGCGTAAATATGCGAGACAGAAGGCTCTGCAATACGTCAATGAGCGCTTCGAGTTTGCCCCGGTAAAATTCCCATTCTGTACGGATGTGCCGTTCGCGGATGCGTTGTTTCTCTCTGTTTGCCGTCGACTACTTTGACCACTTTACTTCTTTGCCTTAGAAAAACTCATTTGAAAGAAGAGGTGATGTCAAAGATGAAAGTAATGCTATTACCGGTATTCGTTGTACTACGATTGCGGTTAGTACTACAAATTAAGATTGCTACTTTTACTGATAATACTGTTATTAGTGTTTCTACTAGTATTAACAGTAAAATAACTAATATTAGTACTATGACTAGTGGTAAACGTAGTAATAGTATTTATTGTAGTACTACCGCATCTACTCTGCGTAATACTACTGCCAGTAGTACTACAACTATTAGTATATTAAGTTTCCTAGTGATAATACTGTTATTAGTATTAACAGTGGTAAAAACATGGTAACTGTGCTGCTGCTGGTATTACCAGTACGAAAACTAAATGCATTGGTAATACAGCTACTAGTTTTACCGTGTTTATTACTGTACGTAACGTCAGTTCGTTTAGCAGGAGACTGCGAAATTTTAAGACAAGATTTAATGATCTGTACAGGCTTTAAAAGCATGCTAATAAGCCAAGAAAAATAACAACTTGCACATCAGTGTATTAGGATTAGTATGTAGCGATAATTTATATTCCTAAACTCGTAATCATATCTTTGGATGCAAGTGGCTTCAAGCTTTTCGCTAAAATGGTAACGTTGCGGCATCGATCTACTACATAAATGCAGTCCATCAATACTGTAACTTCTGGAAACTTGATTCAGTGTGCCTGTACTGTGTGAAATTCAGGTTTTATCAAGCAAGGTAAAAGAAAAGTCGGTAACTCAGAATGTCGGTCTCCCTTGTTGTTTCATGAATGACAAAAATTTGTAACATCGTTTTTTCTCTCGAAGCTTATGGCGCGACTTTAACTTTTTCTAGGTGATTAGTGCCTTGGGTTTCTTTTTTCTAAAGTTATATTTGCAGCGTTGATGGCCACTGTAACATGTAGTCTCTTGTTTACTTCCAAGGAATTGGTACTCGTTATCTTACTCGCTAAAAGAAAGACACTAGTTACGCAACCGGGACGGCTCGACCTCCAGGTTCTCTCGATTCGGAGTTAAACGCTTTACCAACTGAACAGTCTTGATCGATATAACTTCTGCAGGAAATATTCAGTTCTTAGTTTTGCTTATCGTGCAGATGCGTCTTTTGCTGTATGTGTGTGTCTATTCAAGAGCAACTGGTCAGGGG